ATTATGTGCTTGATATGGGAAATAAGTCTGACAGCCTATACATCTAAGAAGAATATTATCTTATGTCTGCATATATTTACGTACGCTTATTTACTGTACTGTACATGCGAGGCCCTTCTGTCAATCCACTGTTGGATGAGGGCCTCCACATGCCATGTGGGTTGTGGGGGTTATATGAGTGTACTTCATCACGCTGGGCTGTGCGTATTAGTGAAGTGGGGGAAGCATAGACGAGGGAGCATAGAAGTACAATACAACAATACATGTTTATGCATGATGGACACCCGTAAATGCAGTATCTCTAAATCAGCTCAAGCCTCCCATAAAACACATTACTTATGTGTGGCCACCACCACTACGAACCGCTCCCCTCTTCCCCGCCCCCCAGTGAAAACCAGAAGTTGGTCCTCTGCTCGCTCCTTCCTCTCTCCTTATCTTCATTCCCCTCCCACCGTCTCATCATCTACAACATCTTGGCACGGTCATTCCTTCTCCCCCCTCCACTTCCTGCACCGGCGCTCATTCTATCTTCCTACTGTTCATTTTGAGCCGTGCCCTCCTCTCCGTCTGTCTTAACTGCCCTTCCCGTGGCATGTGCCTTGAGTGACAGGCTTCATCGAAGCATTATCCAGGTTCAATCCTGCTCAGCTTGCTAGGTGCCCAAGCGACGCCTGGTATACAGGTCGTGGGTTCGATCCGGACCCTGACTTCTGAATATTCGGAGTTTACATGTTCTCCTTGTGGACGCGTAGATTTTTCTCCGGCTCCTCCGGTTTTTCCCTCCACATTTAGAAAACATGCTTTCAGACCATTTGGCTGCTATAAATTTCCACATGACAAGACACTTTGTTGAGCTATCATGTGTGGCCAAATCGCTTTTGAAAAATAACTATAATACTCAGTGTGCCTTACCTGGTAAAATGAAGACTTTCATAGTTTACAGATTGGGTGCATCCAAAACACATCCCTTGTATACATCCAAACGTACGAATTAGACACACATACAGCAAAGGTCCCTGTGTTCACACTATATATGCAACAAATGTAATGACTAACCCACCCTTCATGATTCATCAAATTGTCATGAATAAAATTAACGATTCGCTTTTGCCATTTGATATCACATTGTCTTCGGTTGCAAATGTATCTTTTTTTTTGTTCCGTCTCATTATTTCCACGAGCCCTAAATGAACATGAACACATATCATAATTAATCATCATCATTTAGAATCCCTTTGCCAATTCACTGCCAGATGAAGGCCTCCCCAAGCTGTATAGGTCTTGGGGGGTTGTTTGACCATACTTCATTACGCTGGTGAGCACGAGCTGGTGAAGGGGAGACCCCGGGACAGCAATGGAACTTGGGTCGTCAGCCTCATACCGCAGTGTGCAAACCAACTAAAAAAAAATTACATAAATCAGAAATAATCAAGTAATAGATATACAACTCCAAGCATGTACTGTGAGCATTACAATAAATTTTTACCAATAAACCATTGCATGCGTATTCTTTGGGTCTTTCGGTAAAGTCACGGAGGTAGGTTCAAAGACTACGACGTTTCGATCGCAACACAAGCGGGTCGTCTTTTTTTTTCCTTCTCCCCGAAGACGACCGCTTGCGTTGCGATCGAAACGTCGTATTCTTTGAAACCTATCTACGTGACTTTACCGCAAGACCCAAGGAATATGAATTCCTGCAGTCACGAAAGCTTTAAGTCAAGATACATATATACGGCTCGCAATGAGCCGCAGCAACCGTTGTCATAGAAACACACGACGGGGGGGAGGGGAGGGGGCTATAAATAGCCCCGTCGTTGCGGTTGCTTCCAAACGCCAGCGCCACGGAAACGGCCAACGGAGGAGACGGAGGAGACGGAGGAGACGCGGTTAGTTGGGCCGGCCGGGACGAAGGAGAAGAGGAGGGGGGAGGCCCAGCAGGCAAAGAGACCACTTTGACCAAATTCAGTCGAAGCTATCGATGGGGACCCTTGCCATGCAATACAATCTGGATTTACGTAGCGTGTAAAATGACTGAGGCAACAACGCCCGTAGAGGACGGACCAAGATTTACATGTTGCTCTTGAGCCACATTGAGAAATGAGAGGAGAGGAAGCGGCGTCTGACCACGACCACAATACGCTGCGGTACACAGACAACGGCGAGCATGTTTTGTTTTCAACAAGGCAAAGAGGCGGCGAGCCATAGGCAAGAGAAGATGAGCAGGTGTCAGAGCACTCCTTAAACAGGGGCAGCGAGGAGCGTCTGCGACGTATTAGATTATGGATAGCTGCAGATTCTCTATTCATACTGTAACTGTGGTAGAGCCACCTGAGTTACAAGTTCTGAGTTAAAATCCAGTTCGGTGACTGACTCAGTCCATTGCAATTGCATTTTAAGGGGCAAGAAAATGAATACCACTTTCTGTACATGGACAAAAACGGTAAAAGTAATGTCTTGCTCAACCAGTCATTGAGACGGTGCTCATCTCCTGTTTACTGCTACGAGGCAGTGGTGGAAAGTCCACATATCGATGACGGGAACAAGTCTATTAATGGGACAACCGCTGTTGACTCCCCCACAAATTGATTCTAATTTTATCAACCCCAAAGGGATGATGAGCCCCAGTGAACCTACAGCCAGGATTTGAACTCACAACCTTTCGACTGCAAGCCGCAGACTTTACCGCTGAGTCACCTGGCCAGATTGCCAATGGTGGCTGTCTTATGCAGACAGAGAAATATGGCATTTCCACTGCTAGATGAGGACTGCCAGTGCAGGCGAGTGCCCAAGACTCATTTGAGCGGGGAGACACTTCGATATGTATATGGGCGCAGCCCTTCTTTATCAATCCACTGCTGCATGAGGGCTCACCATGCCGTGCGTGGCGTGAAGGTTATTTGACCATACTTCACCATGTTGCTTAGCGTGGGTTTTCATTTGAAGAGACTAATTTTTCACACAAAGGCTGACCTAGAAAACAAGATTGTCAGTCTGAATGGGCGGTGGCGCAGTGGTTAGCACGCTGCGCTACGAACCCAGCTACCCGAGTTCAATTCCCGGTCATGGCCGCCAACACTCGTGATGATTATCTGAACCGGTCCTGGGCTTCGAATGAGTGTGCGGCAGGGTGTGTACACATTAGTATTGGGGAGACAATGGTGGCCGGGTGTGGTGCTGGCCACCCACCCCCTTCGAAGGTGCTCACTTAGAGCACTTTCCCCAAGAGTCTGTGGGTGATTTTTTCTTTATCTCACCATCTGGACAGAGGTTAACAAATAACAAAATAACTGAGCATTTTAATGATAATATTTTGTGAGTAACCTGTTGGGTCGCTAAGTTGCCAGAATTGCCAGGACAGCAAGTGGGTGTATTTATGAACCCATCCGTGCAGACCTTTTGAGCATCATCCTGTAGTACACGTGTGGGTTTATGGAGACACTCAGCCTTTGACAGAAAGGCTGACCTAGAAAGGGAGATTTTTAAAAATATTGCCAATGGACTCTTGAGTTTTAGATAAAGGTATCTCTCTGTCTGCCAAGAGGATAACAAGGGTGACTAACGAGCACGCATAACACGGTGATGTGATTAAAAGTTCGTGATTCGGGTGTCACAATTCCATTGATGGCTAAATCCACTGTCTCACAGCAACTCGTTTGTATTGTACATGTCATGTGTCACATCTTGTTCTGTCAGCCTATAAGAATGAACAGCCCTTTATCAATCCACGACTGGATGAAGGCCTACCCATGTTGTGTCAGACATGGTGTAGGTTTGACTGTAATTCACCACGCTTGTCATTGCGGGTTGGTAGAGACTCAGGCAGATGCTTCATATATCCCTGCCCACTGATGTTGGTCGTAGCCGGGAATTGAACTCGGGTAACTGAGCTGATAGTGCAGAGTGCTAACCCCATCACCATTGCTGCACACCTGTCTCAAAGCATCTTTCCATATCATGAATCACAAGTCATTGATTCTTGCACACGCAGATCGATGAATGTATCAAGCGCATAGGAGTCATAAATAACTGACTGAATGACAGAACTGATCAATGGTTACATTTATTCAGTTTTGGCGCTGTGTCTAATCCACTGCTGGATGAAGGCCTCACAACAATGTGCGAGTCTTGGGGGGAATCTGACTATACTTCAACATGATGTTCAGTGTGGGTGGTGAAAGGAAGGGATGGCCAGGACCAATAACCACTCAACACTAAACTAAAAGTTTACTTTTAGTACCAACACTGATGTCAGCTGTGGTGGGGAATTGAACTCAGGCCACCAAGTCTATAGTGTGGTGCGCTAATTACTATGCCACCGCCGCTTAAACTTCCTCCGTCCCATTAAGACATGATTACAAACAACCCTGAAGATAGACAAAAACGTATGCTCTAATTCAGTCAATTATATTCAACACCAGGCCAACCATTTTAGGCGCAACACCTTAGCTTAACCACAAGGTTGCGCTGCGAGTTTGGAATAAGCACATCCATTACCACTGAGCTCTGCAGGGAGTGTTCATAACTAGGACAAGTCATCACATCACTTACACTGCTCTCCGTCTCCCCCTGCAGGATGCGAATCACTCCTAGATTCCAGGGGTCGGCAACCTGTGGTGCCGGAGATGCATGCGGCTCTTTAAGGACTGCTTCGTGCCGTTATTTATTTCGGACCACCGTCTCGTAATCACATGCATTGCAGCTCTTGAAATATTTAGTATTTTTTTTACAGAATTAGAAAAACATGGCTCTTCCTGTTATTTTGGTTTACCGACCTGTCCGAGACGCACCAGTTGCACTTCGTAGTCACGTAGCGTCGCTGGCAGGCACCGGCACACTGGTGTAAAAAATGCAATGCAGCCCCTTATCCATTTCCACTATTAGTAGCCTGACGTGCCCTGTTAGGCACCAGCTAATTAACTCTACTCTATCAACACATGGGGTGATTACAGCACTGTGCGTGTGGTCTTGTGCACGAGGTTAAGTGTGTGCATTTGGCATACCTGTGTACGTCTGAAATGGCATCCAGGGCTTTAATTGCTGAGAAGTCTGTGAGCCCACCAGGGAGAAGTGGACTCTCCTGTTGGACATAATGAAAACAAAAAAAACGAAAACCGCACGTCAGGATATACGATCTGCTTACGTGCGGTAAAGTAAAAAGAGACGTGTTTAATATTTCACGACACGTTTGTGTTAAGGTCAATGGAAACGCTGCTAATGTTGTGCTTCATTGTTTTATTTTTCAATTTGCTTCCTGAGAGATTTTACAAAAACAACTGAGAACTAAACCGCCGTCAATTATAACAACCAACGTTGCCAGAGTTAGCTGAAACTCATTCGCAGCCTTGACGAACCAGACGCTGCCAACACAAACGCACGACGGACAAAGGACTCTGTGTGAGGACAATGTCAAAATCTCACGTGCCGCCATTCCCATCACTTCGGTGAGCAGTGGGAGTAGTCCTGTATTCGTTTGTTCTAGGACAAGTCATTCTAACATAAAGCAGAAGGAGAACTCCTTAACGAGAGATTCACTCTGCAACTTGTGTACATCTGTAAGTGATGTATCATTTATTTACAACCACACCACTGGTTGAATTCAGAACAGCAATGAGTGTGAGCACGTGGACTGCTTTGCCTGCTTAAATAAACAAGCTGAAAAGCCAGAACATTCAAGTGATCCTTTGTTTCATTCGGAGAACGAATGCAAGATAACGGTCCTAGTCAAGAGTTAAAAACAATAGCCTTCTAGAAAGTATTTCATTAAAACTAGTTTGGTAAATATCACATAAAAAATATAATATCCAATCTCGCATCTGTATTAGCGCGCTGTGTAGTTCGTTGCAGTGATTGGCTTAGGGGATTTGTAGTCTTCATGATAGAATGTGAAGTGTCCTCAGACGAACGGGTTGGCCTTATATTTCCAGGACATATGAATTAAGCAATCCATTGGCACCGTTGACAAAACCTCACAATCCTTGTCATTAATACTGGATCATAACCACATAAAAAAGAGTAGGCTTCAGTTTCTGTCAGAGCAGAGTTAGAAGGCAAAAAAAATTGGCTTGTAGTTTGACACCACACCTTAAGAGTGTGTGGTGCCACGTTGGCGAGATGTTAACTACCTCACCAGGTATACAGGAGGTCTTGAGGTTCGATCCTGACCGACGACGGTAATATTTGGAGTTTGCGTGTACTCCCCGTGGTCGCGTGGATTTTTATCTGGGTCCCTGGGGTTTCCCTCCACATTTAGAATTAACATGCGTTTACAGTAATTGGCTGCTATTAATTTCCACACTATAGGCCACTTCGTTGCGCCATTATTTGTGGGCAGGTTGCTTCTGAAAAAGAGCTATAGAGCTCAGTGGGCCTTGCCTGGTAAAATAAAAAAAAAACTAGTTCATTAAATAGTTTAGTTTACAACAATGGGAAATATTAAGATAGTTGACCCATGACCAATTTGGAATTGAAATTTAAGTACGTTTTCTATGAGTAGACACTGATTGTAACCATGAGGTCCCTCATTCTACTCTGCTCTCCCCCCCCATTGTGTGGAGCTCCCTTCCCGCCAGCCATCCCACGCTGTCGACTCCATTCCACCTGTTCAATAACAGGCTAAAAAATTTTCCTTTTTTTCAAAGGTTTTACTTAACTAGACTCCTGTGTCGTGGTCAAATCTTGTAATCTGCATTTCGTCTACTTCCCGTTGTCCAATCAATCCCTAATTTTGCACACGTACTCAGATCCGGTGACAATGCATGCCTCTATTAAAATCGGCATCAAATAATCAATGAATTGCCTCCATTCATGCAATTTTATATTTTTTCATGGACGGCTTATTAATTATATATTTTTTGTGTAGGTGAAAAACGCTGCGGTCCCTAAACTGTGGAATCGGCTTGCACAAAAAGCAGGCACCGCGTGTCTCTTGTAATCAAGATGTCGTTCACTTCCCGTTGTCCAATCGAGTTATTTACTTCTTAGTGCACTTTAAAATAAAACCATTGTTTTAAAAAAAGGTTTTAAAGGAGTTTTTATCTCAGCATATGACCGACTGCCTCTCTATATAAAATAAATATGTACACTGTTTTTGTACGTCTTGGGATGCATTTGCTTTTAAACTCTACATGAGGTGAGCACATCCTTTTGCTCGAGGACTTAAAAATACCTTTGAGCGGGACCATACATTGACACAGACCTTAGCGTTATCCAATAACGACCCTAAAGATGCCATGCAGGTCGACTGACTATAAAGAGATCTTGACTTAAAGCTTTCATGACTGCAGGAATTCATATTGTTTGGGTCTTTCGGTAAAGTCACGTAGATAGGTTCAAAGAAAATAACAAAAAACTACGACGTTTCGATCGCAACACAAGCGGTTGTCATCAGGAAAAGGGGGTTAGCCTCTAAAGGCAAACTGTTTATAAAGGTTTAAAGATGGGCGTAGCCCAAGTGTGTCAGCAGCATGGGCGGGGCAGCTAATGTTAATGTAGGGAAAAAAAACGACACCGGCAGTGGTTCTCCACAAATCAAAAGGCTGCCAGGCAAACATTGCACATCGCTCCACACTCACACTGCTGACGGTGGAGGTTGCTGCTAGAGGTGATGGTAGCAGTGGGTAATGATGGTGCTGGTGGTGGGCTACCACCAATTAAAGGGCTACCAGGTCTAAAATGGAAACATTAACAGGCAGTTATGACTTAAACTGGTTGATAACGTCCTTGCAGTGATTGCTGAGTTTGTACCCATCTTCTCGGTTGAAATTGTGTCTATGTCTGTATATATGGATGGCCTCTTGAACAAATCTTTGTTGATAGCCTGTGGGTTTGCAAAGCACCTTCGTCTTAGAGAAATACATTTCGTGTGAGCCAACCGCATTAAAGCAGGTATTGGTCCTACCGTGTTTCAAATCTGCCTTATGTTCAGGAACTCGGTCCGAGACATGTCGCTTAGTTTCCCCAATTTAACTACTGCTGCAGACACTGCTTAGTTTGTAGACGCCGGGGTATTGCATGTCAGGGATCACATCCTTCACAGATGGGATCAGATCACGAATTTTATTTACTGTGTTAAATAGAACCTGGATATTGTTTTCTCATGATTTTGGATTTTTTTGGTGACCCCTGCTATGTATGCCAAGGTAATGGTTTTGAATGGGTCTTCAGATGGTTCATTCCCAAAGGTTTGGGTGATTGCTTTACGGATTACGTAGTCTGAATATCCATTCGTCTTGAGAGCTTGGTATACGTGTTTCAGTTCACTGGCTAGGTGATGGTCGGAAATACATCAAGCTCTATGGTGTAGAGTTTTGATGAGGGAATTCTTCTGGGATGGATGGTGGTGGGAGTCAGGTTTTAGGTAGGCATCCGTATGGTTTACTTTCCTCTAGACAGAGTGGCCCATTGAGCCATCTGGTCTCTTTTAGATTAAAACATCCAAGAATGGTAGCGTGCCATTCTTTTCCACCTCCATGGTGAATTTGATGGCTGGGTGTATGGAATTGATGTGGTTGAGGAATTGGTTCAGAGCTGGTTGGCCATGTGGCCAGATGATGAACGTGTCATCTACGTACCTCTTCCAATAGGATGGACGTAGAGTGGATGCCTGGATGGTGTCGGTCTCAAATTTATCCATGAAAACATTGGCTACAACCGGAGATAAGGGAGAACCCATTGGGGTACCTTCAACTTGTTTGTAGAATGTTCCATTCCAGGTGAAGTATGTGTTGGTGAGGCAGTGTCTCACCAGGGCCGGTATATCAGCATTCAGTCCTTATTGGACCAAATCTTCAATGATTGCAATGGTGTCAGGCACAGGAACTTTGGTAAACAAAGAGACTACATCGAAACTAACGAGCAAATCACCTGGAGATAGTTAAATGTCCTTAATTAATGATACCAAGTGAGCTGAGTTAAGTACAGGTGAGGCAGTCTTACCAGTGAATGGTTGTAAGGTCTCAGACAGAAATCTGGCCAGTTTGTAGGTGGGTGAATCAATGGTGGAGACGATAAGACGAAGGGGTGTACCTTCTTCCTGATGACGACCGCTTGTGTTGCGATCGAAACGTCGTAGTTTTTTGTTATTTTCTTTACCGAAAGACCCAAAGGATATAAAGAGATCCTCGCAGCAGTAAGCTGAAAGAGTGTTGATGCTAGGAAGAAAATATTCCCCCTGTAGTACCTGATAAGTGCAGCCAAGATGCTTGCAGCGATGGAAAAATATATATTTGTGGGTAATTTAAAAGCAGTAAGCCTTATGTGGCCATTGGCCAGTTGCGCAACAAAGCAGTGGAACGTTTCAGGTCCATGTACTGCCCACCCCGGCTCTATTAGTACACATCTGATTTGCATTGCACTTATCTCATTGGCCTCTCTCTTTCAGGCAACTAATGACGCTTGCAGCCCCATAGTGGGTGCGCGAAGGACTATGCAGTTGAGGACCCATGCATTAAAAGTGCAAGGCGTGCAAAAGAGGACAAGGCAGGTGCCACTCCCTGACTGAAGCAGCAGGCACAGGGAGGTTCACATTGGCCCACTGCCCTCAAGCCAAAATACAGGGGGCAGCAGAACCTCAAGTCAGCCGGGAAGGGGCAGAGAGGAGGCATTTAATTACGTAAATTCATTACTTTGAGTGCTCCGAGTAACGGATTATGAGACAAGTATGGAAATCACAGTTGATTCTTATTCCTCATTGCAGAGTAAAATGGGGTTATCTACTCGTGATGATAATAATTGTGAGATCCCAGAACCTCTGCACAACCAGTTCAATGCTCTGAAAAAGGAAACAAGTATGAGCTCCCCGCACAAGCCACCGGTCCAGCACTTTTCCTATTGTAGCTCCACAAGCTGCTTGCACTGGGTGAAGGTGTAGCCAATGCAGCCAATGAGAGCCGAACAAAGATAAACAAGCCAGTCATCAGATAATAACTTCAGTCAGCTTTCTGTGGCACTGGCAAACTGGAAATACCGGCTGGGGCCTGCAGCTAGAAACATTCACAGCTCATTCAAATTGTCACTAGCAGTGTATAATACATATTACATCAGGATGGAAGGCAGCTCGGGCAACATTTTTCTTTCTTCAAAGAATGTCAATCAACAGATAAGATGATTATGGTGACTGCTTGGCAGGCCAGTATTGTAGGATGCAGCTGGGTTGCTCCTATGTTTTGGTTATATTTTTAATGTCATTTATTTATCCATGATAAGCTGCACGGAGGCTCTCTAGCCTCGATCTTAAAAGCGGGTCCCCTGCTATAACTCACAGCCACAAATTGCTTTTATTTCTATATTACGAACAGCTATATATTAAAAAAATATCTCTCACTGTAGTATAGAATTGTCTATGTTTTTGTGTATGTGATGGAGCTTTGGATGGCAGATTTCAGCCAGAAAGGCATCACTTAAGCAAAAACATTTAAATTGACTCGACTTGACTACGTAGAAGATAACAATCGCATGCACGCGTAAGACGGTTCGTGCACACAATTGCCGGTCGATTGTCTCCTGGTCGCATCGCAGCAGTCTACGCCGCGCGTGTTAACCCATCTCCATAATCCACCGCGGGGCATCTGCTCGTTAAGCAGAGAATGCTTCTCTGAACCAGAAAAAAAGTTGTGTGTTCCCCAATGTGTTTTGAAAAAAGTTTTTTTAAAATTGTACCAGGTAAGGCCCACTGAGCTATGTAGCTCTTTTTCAGAAGCGACCTAACCACAAACGATAGCTCAAAGAAGTGGCTTTACTTGTGGAAATGTAAAGCTGCCAAATATTCCAAACGTAAATGTTGATTTTACATGTGGAGGTAAAAACTGTAGGACCCAGAGAAAAATCCAAACAACCATGGGGAGAACATGCAAACTCCAAATATACAGGTGTGAGGGTCGGGATAAAACCCACTATCTCTCCTGCATACCAAGCGAGGTAGTTAGCATCTCACCACCATGGGGTTTTGATTCAGTGGACAGCTGTGTGATCTAGACCAGCGTTTCTCAACTTCAATCCACATGACACCGCTGTCCACCTTGTCGTGATGACCAATTATTTTCACATATATGTACTCGAAACACTGCACGCGCGATGATTGGTAATCATAGAAAGTCGTAGCCTCCCCTCTGCCCTCCAGCAAACAATTCGTGGCAACCCCGTAAGCTGGGGTTGGGTAAGAGGGCGCAGGAACCCCTCGCTTGAGAACCGTACGCGGCCTGCGAAATTATAGCTTTTCTACGTCAAGGCGAGCAGCGGTGGTTGCGGCTCAGCCGTGTGAAGACCCGCTTGGGTTTCGAGCGTTGGTTGATTTCACGCGCAGCGCACCGTTCGCGACGGTCTCCGCTCGCCGGTGGCGGAGGTGGTGACAGCCGTGGCTGCGGTGGCGGCTGTCGTGGCTTTGGCTTGGTCCGGCGGCGGGGGCGGTGTCCCGGTGGTGAGGCTGGCTCGCCTGCCAATCTTCTCCTGCACAAGATGCATGGCCATGCCGAACTGATCCCTCGTCAGCTTGCCGCACTGCCGTGTGTCGCTCAGCGCCCTGCACGTGCACGCGTGAACATGAATGTCAGGCCTGTTAACGACGCCCCATTACCTAAAATGACGATTACACTTATACTGGGTAGGCCCAGAATTTTACTTATGTATGTAAAATTTATTTCGCAACGTATGTAGCTAACCGTGCTAATCAGAGGTGCGGAGGAAGGACAACAAACTAAAAAAAAAGCAGTTCTAAAGAAATAAAGTTTTCCATCTAGACGATTTAATAAAACGTCTCACGGCGCAAAACGTGGGGACTCACGCGTGCAAACTGGGAAACGTGAAATGTATTTAATCCATTTGTAGAATATGGACGTAATATGAACAAACAGAAATGGACAAAATCAGATGGGAAAAACACGATAAATAATATAACTCGCGTGGTAAATGTGGCACGCACGGGATGGAATTGTTGAACTGAAACTCACCGTCTGAGAAAGGAGTTCAAACAAACATGGCTGGGTGCGGGGGGGTCACAAAACCTACTTGCTGTACTGCCGGTATTGGCCACATAATGACCGAACAGGCTGGGAGTCTCATAGCACAAGATGTTCTGTGTGTAATCCACCAACCCCAACATTATTACCGTACTACACACTACATTACAGTCCATAATCCCTTCATGGTTGATAGAAGTAGCACCGCTTTTGGGGGAAGTCAACAGTGGTTGCTGGAGTATCACGCAGAGAATTGCCCTTGCCATCACAATGTGAAAATATCCACCAGTGGGGCTCAGTGCCACCAATGGCGAGACACCATCGCCCTACACTCAAATGAGCAGGGGAACAAAAACAAAAAACTAATATATTTGAACCACCTCCAAAGCGGTAAGCACTCCAACAACCTACCAAGCCATGACATTAAGGGAAGCCTCGAATTTGATAGGGGGTTCGACATTACAAAGAACTGCGCAAGGGAAAAAATCACGCGTGCTCATACACGGACACATCAGGCACATGCACCTACACCTGCCAGCCCCTATTATAACGCACACACACAAGTGCTGATTCGTAATATAGCTAACACTCAAAAATTCAAAACACTCTGGTGTAATTATTAACGCTTTCCATTAACGAAGGTTGAAGGTTAGCTCTGTCCTATATTTTGTTTATCTCTCCATCTGACCGTTGGGGACAGCCAGATAGCTCTTGTAAAGATGACGCAATATAAATAAAACTCGTGTAAAAGTTGGTTGCGATAAGGAACTCAACCTTACGTAAAACCAGCCCAATTCATCAAAGGGTTGTCTAGAACTTGGCAATTACAACCCAACGCTAAAAGGATAAGCCTTGTCAACCACAGTGATGACGTCACACACCATACGCTCGCCTCCCCTCGCAATTACACCATGAGGCGTGATGTCATCTCGCGACGTCACGCACAGCGTGACGCCGTCTCATTATGCAGATCGGAAGGCGCTGTTATTGTTGTTAATTAAATAATAAATTCAATCCATCCAAACACAAGGCCGTGTCGGAAAGCACAACAGAATCCCTGCATGAAACGTGACTTTTATTTTATATTTTATTACCAACATCGCCCAAAAGCCATTGGTATCTGGAGTTGGTATTTGTGAATGATCCCGCTTTACAGGCTTTGTGATTTTCATTCAAAAATGCAAAGCATCCTCGTGACAGACGTAACACGTCCCAGGACACGGAAACGACTGGCATTACGTCCGGCTTGCCCGCACATCACAAACACGTGACGTGTTGGAAGGACACAGCCCACTGACCAGATCTGAGCGAGGACGGCAGGAGAGAGGCCGGTCTTCATGAACACCTCCTTGACCTCCAGGCCCGTGACCTGGCCGTCCCCGTCCTTGTCCAGTTTGGTGAACATCTCGTCATACTTGAGTCTCTCCGCCGCGCTCACCGCTTGGCTCTGCCACAGAGGCCGAACGGGAATGAATAAATTACGAGAGATGCCTCATGCATGTTGAAACAAATGCATTAATTAGATGTGTAATGATTGCCACCCCAAACACTCAAACACAATTAATGAGTGCAATTTTCGGTTGCAGCCTGTACTGTTTCATTTGTACTGCCTTATGTACGTTCAACTTCTTTCGCATCGTACATGGCCAACCATGCTAATTGTAAGTGCGGGGGAAGGACAACAAACCAAACACAAAAAGCAGTTCTAAAGAAATCTAGATGATTTAAAAGTGCGTCGCTCCAGTGACTTCCTAATATCGGAAGGAAAAACGTTCAAGACAGCCGCAGAAGTGCCTCTGAAAGCACAGGATGCGTCGACTTTCTTTGTTCGATGGCTTCCCAAAAGCCGCTGCGAGGATGACCGGAGTTTGCGTAATGGTTTATGCTGTACTGTATCATTCGTATTGTCTTATTTATTCTATCTCCTCTGTACTACCGATATTTTTGCCTTCCTCATTTGAACTGTCCGTTTCATCCACACTGTCGCATTCATGCTGTCTGCGATTAGTTCCGTCTAGTCCGTACCATCCGCCTCGTCTGTATTAACCCGTTTGCAGTGCCTCGTCCACCATCTGACTCGTTTGTACCGGCTGTAAGCCTATCGAAAAAAGTTGATTAAAAAATGTTCAATAATCAAAAACCGATCTGTTCTTAGGCACACGATTTGATGAATGAGATACGAGCGTAAGCACTGCTTTTAATTGACAAATCAAATAGTCTTGCCGTGTTTTGTATTTTATCCCGTCTTGCTCTGCGCCTACTTAATGCACCTGGGTTGCGCTGTGCTTGGAGAGTGCTGGACAATTCGAGGTACATGAGTTCAAATCCAGGTCACCATCAATGGTGGCTGAGTTGCACCTTGCAAAAGAAAGCTTCTGAGCTCAATGGGCCTTTACACGGGAAATAATCGTCCGATTCTGATCATCTCACCCGAGTGACCATACAGAGAGTCACTTTCTGGGATCGAAATGATAGTTGTTCGAAGAGAGGCTGGTCCCTACCACAGACATGTCAAATTTGCAGCACTGGCTTAGTAAATTAAGAAAAGTAACTTTCATTCATCAAGGAAAGCCTCAGTGAGTCTCAATATTTTTTCAACGTTGGGAATGTTTGGCCAATAGCTTATTACAGACATAAAATTATATGAAACTGGACTTGATGAAAGCTATTTCCGCAAATGTTTAAACACGCCCAGGATATGATAAGTCACGGAGGGCAGTTTTCAAGTGAAACAGCTTTTAGTCAAAGCCTATGTTTACATTAAAGGGTTCACAGGTAAATGCGTCACAATGACAAGACAAAATATTTCAGCGGCCAAGTGCAGAATCCTTTTTGAGAAATGACATATTAAAAGTCGCCACTGCTGACAGTATGGGGCTGCGGTCATCCTTGTCAAATAGTCGCTTAGCTCAATGGGGCCTCACCAGCTGAAATAACGCCGAGTGTGAGTCTATTAATCTCTATGTAACTCTATTAATATCTGTGTCACTCCGCGAGTCTCTATGTTAACGCTACGTACAGTGAGGGAAAAAAGTATTTGATCCCCTGCTGATTTTGTACGTTTGCCCACTGACAAAGAAATGATCAGTCTATAATTTTAATGGAAGATTTATTTGAACAGTGAGAGACAGAATAACAAAAAAATCCAGAAAAACGCATGTCAAAAATGTTATAAATTGATTTGCATTTTAATAAGGGAAATAAGTATTTGATCCCTCTGCAAAACATGACTTAGTACTTGGTCTTTTATACATGTAACAAGCTGAGATTAGGAGCACTCCCTTTAAGAGTGTGCTCCTAATCTCAGCTCGTTACCTGTCTAAAAGACACATGGGAGCCAGAAATCTTTCTGATTGAGAGGGGGTCAAATACTTATTTCCCTTATTAAAATGCAAATCAATTTATAACATTTTTGACATGCGTTTTTCTGGATTTTTTTGTTGTTATTCTGTCTCTCACTCTTCAAATAAACCTACCATTAAAATTATAGACTGATCATTTCCCCGTCAGTGGGCAAACGTACAAAATCAGCAGGGGATCAAATACTTTTTTCCCTCACTGTAGCTGCAATGTCCCATAACTACCGCTGCTGCCGATGGCCTGGGGGTGTGTTCGTCCGTGTAAAAGAGCTGCTAAGGTCAACAGCGCCTCACCGGCTGATATAATGCAGCTTCAAAAAGAGCGGTGAATGCAAACGCCAGTGAGCAGGCACTCACCTGTACTTTTGGCAGAGCGAAAGCGGACGACACGAGACCCGGTTTCCTCTTGGCCGGAGGGATGAGCTTGATGGGCAGAGCGAGTGGAACGGGTTCCTTTTCCAAGGCCCGGTACACGAGGTACATTGCCTGCAACCATAGAGCGTAACCTCCATCAGTTTAACACGTAGGATTTCACGACTGATTAGCAAAAAAAAGTTTTCTTTGGGTTAGATCGCAAAAATATAAATGTGTCGTTAAACCCACGACCACAGCCAATTAGTAAGGTTGTCACGTAAACAAAACTGGCCAATTAGTTACTAGTTCAGCACACCGGGTGTGTTGGAGAGGAAAGCCACAATATTTACAACTCGAGTACTACGTTTTGCCAAAATCCGATCAATAAAATCCAACAAATCAGAGCATCGCACTTCTCTCAAGGTGCAGAGCAGGAAGGAGACCTTCATTGGCGGCAGATGAAGGGGACCCGCGGTGGTGAGATTGGAACTACCTCCCTGTGGTCGCGTGAATTTCCACCAGGTCCTTAGTTTTTTCCCTCCACATTTCGAAACATGCATTTAGATTATTTGGCTACTATAAATTTCCACATGATGATAAGCCACTTCGTTGAGCTACCATGTGGCCAGGTCGCTTATGAAAAAAAGCTGTATAGCTCAGTGGGCCTTACCTGATAAAATAAGAATAGTTTATATTCTTGGTTCTTTCGGTAAAGTCACGTAGAAGGGAAACAATAAAATAATAAAAAAATATAAATCAATAAAATTCTCACGAAAGAACCAAGAATATGAATCCCTGCAGTCACGAAAGCTTTAAATCAAAGAATAGCTTAATCGATAGTAAAACTAGATGATCGCTGGGCGGATTATGCAACTTGTGGATTAACTGTGTGCACCTTTTAAAGTTGAGATGGTGTCACAGTGTGCCCACGCAATCACAAACACGTCGGCAAGAAATCATACTAAAAAACAATCAAAACTAATGATAAAAATAATAAAACAGTCGGCACATTCTGTCTCAACCCCCATTAAAAACAGGGAGGCAATTAATCAGTTTTATAACCTAATTTACGTAAACATGTTTTTCATGTGTTTTGTTATATTTGGGGCAACCTCCCCCCCCCTTACCATGGATAATTTTGAATATTAAGTATACAGTTAGTTAAGCAATGTACTCGTCATCAAAGGCAACTGCGGAATGTTGACCACGTGGCTCAATTCTCTAGGGTTGACGCTGCCCACCAGGTTATCTATGCTGGGGCTGCTGACAGGCGGAGAAGGACGAGGCCAAGGGAAAGGCCACAGGTCTTCTGGCTGCAGAGGATTGACAGCTGCTGTCGAGTGAGGGTTGGCCAGAGGGAACAGTAACCCGCAAGGACCCCTTGAGTTGGCGCGCGAGGGTGGCTGCTGCTACACGCTGTCTAGATATTTAAAAATGTAAGCATCTCGCCGTGCATTTTGCAACGCAATGTCAAGGCAGTGTTGCAAAAATGAAATACTGCGGAGGCCACACGCGGATTGAATCAGAACCTTTATTTATCTGGAGGAATCTGATGAGCTATGAAGCTGTTTGTCACAGATGTCAAGTAGCGGCGGGTGAGAAAGTTACAACAAACAATACAAAAAAAACCATAGGATTGCAAAGTATAGTAAAGGTAAGCAGATCAATACAAATAATTAATAAAATATGTCAGTTCAAATTGCATTAGTACATCAATTCTCAAGCTTGGGCAAGGCAGCAGATATTGTGGAAAGTGTTACGGAATCCACACGCGAGCATTATTGTTCTTCCTCGGCACAGAGATATTGACTGCACTGCGGTAAGAGCGAAGAAAATTCTAAATAAAATGTGGACCGTGCAGAAAATATTCGATGGGGGGGTGGGGAAATATGCTTTACACAAAAACTCACCACGGAAAACTCATCCCTGTCAAGGAAACCATCTCTGTCGATGTCGCTCAGGTCCCACACCTGCAGAAACAAACCCCCGCATCAGCGAATCTGCAACGCGACGCGTGGGTGGTGACGAGAGAGTTTTGCAAAAAAATATTTAGTCAGTGTTGTATTGCAAAACTGCCGCGGTTGGAATAGGTTGGTTAGGACGGCGCTCTGGGCTTGCAATCCTTAGTGTCGCCGATTACAATTCATCTCCAGACACGGCAGGTAAAGCAATAAAGCAAGTTTTGTAAATCCCCGCCCCCCCTTCGGGATAGAACCCTTGACCTCCTGTATACCAGGCAAAGGTAGTTATCTCGCCACCACGGTGCCCTAAAACGCACCCGGCCCAACGTCTCCACGGGAAGTTTTGAGTTGAGCAGCACGGGTTTGACCTTCTCTCCTGACAGGAGACCATTCTGGGGCTTCAGGCTGTCGTAGATGCTGTCAAACTTGGCCTTCTCTTCCGGCTGCGATGCGCGGTGGGAGAGGAAGAAAACAGAAGTGATCGTTTGAAGGCTGCGTTTTAATTTCTTGCATCGTAAATATATAATCGTTAGTCGGTCGGTCAGTCGTTTTGATAAAATCACAGACATGAGCCATCTCTTTTGCAAGGCACTCCAAGGAGAAGTATACATTGTAGTTAACTCAATGTCCTGTATTTAATAAGGTGAATTTCCATTGAAGTAGGTGACCACTCTCCAAAGATAGACATTAATAACTAGTTACACCGAGTTATTTTAATCACCATAGTTATTTAAAACAAAGTCAGTGATTTGGAAATTGAATATTCCTATGGTAGGGGCGGGCCTAATCATATGACAACCACTGGTGACTTCCCTACAAATTGAGTACTAATTTATCAACGCTGGAGGGATGATGGGACAATGAGTCAACCCCCAACCAGAGTTTAAACTAGCAACGTTCTGATTGCCAGCCGCTCGCTCTCCCGCCGTGTCAGCTGGCCGGTTTATAATGTATGTCAGACTACCCCTGAATCACCAGGATAAGGACTTTTATATGAGCCCTCGTAGATTTACATTGCAGGTTTCAATGAGTGCAGTATGTATGCTGAACTTATTTCACATCGTACGTAGTCAACCGTGCTAATCGGAGGTGGGGGTAAAGTAATGTCAAGCAAACCTTTACAGCCCAGGGGATGTCAGGGCCTTGAGGAGGAGCTATCATCGCTGGGCTATCGAGCTCCTGCAAGACACAGAAACACACACACACACACGCGGACACACACACATGGAACACAGCACACAGTGGGAGCTAAGTCCCAAACAGCAATTCCTTCATAATAAACGTTTTTGGGTTAGATCGCGTTAGTTATAAATGTGTCGTAACCCTCCACCACCCAACACGGCCAATCAGCAAAAAAAAAGTGTCACGTTGACCAAAGACAAACAGTTCACTACTTTAGCCCACCGGTGTGTTGAAGAGTCAATCCACAACATTTACAGTTTTACAGCAATTCCTTGTTGAACACGCTAGATGCATTCCTTAAAAGTGCCACATTGAGCAAAGAATTACTACTACTGAATTACATTTGCACTACGAAATTAGCCTGCGGTCATGCCATGGCAGGACAAAGAGCTGAGATGAGGGTATGCCGCCACTGCATACTATATTGTTACGCGTACTGTATCGTTCTGCATACTGTATAATTTTGAGTACTGTATCACTCCGCTCAGCCGCGTAGCTCAAGAGAGTTCGTCGTCGAACGCTCAGAAACCGCGTTGTAACGGTGCGCGTTCTGCATTATAACGGTGTGCGTTTCTCCTTGTTGTGATGTGTTCCTTAATGGAGGAACCGTGTTAAAGCGAAAACGTATTATGTGAACACCATGAGTTAAGCGAGGGTTTACCGTACTTGTGAAACATGCCGAATTACAGCGGCAAGCTGCCGATTTTTTTTTACCCTTTTACTAGATGTGTATCATCCGTATTCAAAGACACTTAAAAAGTATGAAATTTTTTGAAAAACATTTTTGCATGCAATTTTCAATTTTAAAATCGGTACGGTGTAACATGGTTTGATATATCTGCCGACTTGTGCTTAACTCAAAAGTACGAGTCAGTAGATCTACTCCTGTCTTGAAAAAAGTTCCACTGGAAGCATAGAGATGAAGGGGCCAGGAGACTTTTCAAAATACATCCTTTGTCTGATAACTGATATTTTTCTTGCAAATATACCTTGTACCCTACGCTGTGCTTATTTGCATCACGTGACAACCGGTCAATATAATATATTTGTTGTTCACAACAAATGATTATGAAAAGGTGGTCGGATAGCTCCAGGGGTCTCATAATGCCCGCTTCGGAATACTGAGCTGACGTCGCTGAAGATGAGAATTGATTGGTTCACAACACTCAGCCATTCGATGAAATTGCCAGTATTTACAGTGAGGGAAAAAAGCATTTGATCCCCTGCTGATTTTGTACGTTTGCCCACTGACAAAAATAAATTATCAGTCTATAATTTTAATGGTAGGTTTATTTGAACAGTCAGAGACAGAATAACAAAAAAATCCAGAAAAACGCATGTAAGAAATGTTATGAATTGATTTGCATTTTAATGAGGGAAATAAGTAGTTGACCCCTCTGCAAAACATGACTTAGTACTTGGTGGCAAAACCCTTGTTGGCAATCACAGAGGTCAGACGTTTTTTTTTGTAGTTGGCTACCAGGTTTGCACACATCTAAGGAGGGATTTTGTCCCACTCCTCTTTGCAGATCTTCTCCAAGTCATTAAGGTTTCGAGGCTGACGTTTGGCAACTCGAACCTTCAGCTCCCTCCACAGATTTTCTATGGGATTAAGGTCTGGAGACTGGCTAGGCCACTCCAGGACCCTAATGTGCTTCTTCCTGAGCCACTCCTTTGTTGCCTTGGCCGTGTGTTTTGGGTCATTGTCATGCTGGAATACCCATCCACGACCAGTTTCTCAATGCCCTGGCTGAGGGAAGGAGGTTCTCACCCAAGATTTGACGGTACATGGCCCCGTCCATCGTCCCTTAGATGCGGTGAAGTTGTCCTGTCCCCTTAGCAGAAAAACAGCCCCAAAGCATAATGTTTCCACCTCCATGTTGGACGGTGGGGATGGTGTTCTTGGGGTCATAGGCAGCATTCCTCCTCCTCCAAACACGGCGAGTTGAGTTGATGCCAAAGAGCTCCATTTTGGTCTCATCTGACCACAACACTTTCACCCAGTTGTCCTCTGAATCATTCAGATGTTAATTGTCAAACTTCAGACGGGCATGTATATGTGCTTTCTTGAGCAGGGGGACCTTGTGGGCGCTGCAGGATTTCAGTCCTTCACGGCGTGGTATTACCAATTGTTTTCTTGGTGACTATGGTCCCAGCTGCCTTGAGATCATTGACAAGATCCTCCCGTGTAGTTCTGGGCTGATTCCTCACTGTTCTCATAATCATTGCAACTCCACGGGGTGAGATCTTGCATGGAACCCCAGGCCGAGGGAGATTGACAGTTATTTTGTGTTTGTTCCATTTGCGAATAATCGCACGAACTGTTGTCACCTTCTAGATTTAAAGCTTTCGTGACTGCAAGGATCCATACTCTTTGGTTCTATTCGGTAAAGTCACGTAGGTAAAAAATAAAACAAAAATCACGACGTTTCGACCACAACACAAGTGGCCTTCATCAGGTGAAGGGACCAACCTGTCCAGAGGACAGCGTTGGAGTGAAAAAAGTCAAGCGCAGGTCGCCTCCTTTAAGCTGTGAGTGGGTAAACAGAAAAGACACCATTGGAAAGATGGTTGCTAAGCAACCATTGGAAAGATGTTCTAAATCGAACCAAACGTTAAAGGAACTTTTAATGGTACAGTATATTCATTCAATTAGTGGCATCCCAAACTCTCACGGTGGTGCTAATGTATTTTTGATGCTATTTGCGAGCTTGCACAGCTTTACATTTTATGCTAATTCCTTTGTCAAGGCGTCTTTTCTGTTTACCCACTCACAGCTTAAAGGAGGCGACCTGCTCTTGACTTTTTTCACTCCAACGCTGTCCTCTGGACAGGTTAGTCCCTTCACCTGATGAAGGCCACTTGTGTTGTGGTCGAAATGTCGTGATTTTTGTTTTATTTTTTACCTACGTGACTTTACCGAATAGAACCAAAGAGTATGTTGTCACCTTCTCACCAAGCTGCTTGGCAATGGTCTTGTAGCCCATTCCAGCCTTGTGTAGGTCTACAATCTTGCCCCTGACATCCTTGGGGAGCTCTTTGGTCTTGGCTATGGTGGAGAGTTTGGAATCTGATTGATTGCTTCTGTGGACAAGTGTCTTTTATACAGGTAACAAGCTGAGATTGGGAGCACTCCCTTTAAGTGTGTGCTCCTAATCTCAGCTCTTTACCTGTATAAAAGACACCTGGGAGCCAGAAATCTTTCTGATTGAGAGGGGGTCAAATACTTATTTCCCTCATTAAAATGCAAATCCCCAAAAAAACATTTGACATGCATTTTTCTGGATTTTCTTGTTGTTATTCTGTCTCTCACTGTTCAAATAAACCTACAATTAAAATTATAGACTGATAATTTCTTTGTCAGTGGGCAAACGTACAAAATCAGCAGGGGATCAAATACTTTTTCCCCTCACTGTAGAGGATAATCCTATACAAGTGTAAATTTTTTTAACTGATTTTAGCTTTCTCATTGGGATTTCTCTCATCTTTGCTTACACACGAAAAAATGGTGTCTTAAGAATCGACTTTAATAAACTAAAAGGACACAATTTTTATTTTGCCAGGTAAGGCCCCCTGAGCTATATAGCTAATTTTCAAAAGCGACCTGGTCAAAAACGATAGCCGAATGAAGTGGCTTATCTCATGGCAATGTATAGCAGCCAAACACTCTAAAAACAAATGTTTCTAAATGTGGAGAGAAAAACCGGAGTTCACGGAGAAAAATCCACACAACCACTGGGAAAACATTCAAACTCCAAATATACAGGTGCTAGGGTTGGGATCGAACCAACGACCTCCTGTATACTCATTAAGGTAGTTAACATCTCACTACCGCGGCACCCCAGATAATGAATAGATGCATCGTTATTACATACCTAGACGGTAACCTGAGTTCAACTGCAGGTTTGAGACACCCTTTGACTGGTTTCTCATGAGTAGTGAGTTTTCAGCCGTCATCAATGACTGGATCTAGCAGAATAAGGTGTCTGAAATATGGCATTTCGCTTTAGGGAACATCCCACCCAAAAGCTATTTTCTTTTCATTTACAGGCATGTTCCAAGGTTTAGTGTCCTGCTATTATCCCTTTGGAGCCAACCAGCATCCTCCAGTCGATCATATCTTGATTAGAAATGAACTCTCCGATAGTTAAAGTAATCGATTAATCTACAGATTACCCGACTGATCCTTTCCTTGCGTGCCACTGAACGGGAGGCGATTGGTGGCGCATGATTGACGTCAACGGTCTAAGCAGCCGTATGGTGCTGGACGTGGCTTTTAGGGGTTTTCCCACTTTTAAGAGGATGGAATTGGGGGCCTGCTGAAAGGGACCTGAGTAATTAACCACAAAGAGTGGCTGTTAATATTTTATCGATTAGTCCGCTAATCTTACCAGCTCTAAACTTAATGACAGTTGTTACGTGAAGACATTATTTGGATGATGCTGCATTTGAAGTGGTGCACGCGCGCGAATATAAAAAAAAAACTGAACACATTTGTAACTAACACTGTCGGGAAAAGGAGGATACTAATGGTGGCATTTTGGTTAAATGCCCTTAATCCTCGCACAAAGAGAGACCACTCAACTTCTACGGCCTCTCGGTGTGCCGTGAAGGAGAACCGATGCCTGAAACGTCGCCTATATTATACGTTTTCTTTGTAACGCCACATGGCGTTATTGACAAATGAGTCAGGAGATTCATAATCATGATTGGAGTAAAAGCCAGTCCTGCTTTCAGTACAGATGTGTCAAAACTTTACTGGCAATATTAAAATATTTTACTTCTTTCGTTGTTGCAAACACTGAACAATAACAGGGAGGCAGCCAAGCGAACATATGTGAGTCCATTATGTAATTGAGTAAAATGTAATACTGCACACAGACAAGAATATTTAAACCACATGTCCAACAAAAGCAAAGCCAGTTTTACAACAACAGAAACTCACTCAGAGAAAACATGTTCTTAACAATTTTCAGAACAGTTTTGGAAACTTAATAAAGCTTTTTTTAAACACATACAAATTCCACATCAATCATTCATTAAGCAACCTACAATTTTTTTTGACCAACATTTATTTTTAACAGCATTTTTCAGAACTGGTTAACTGTGCGCAGTGGCGTCTTCCAAACCACACTTAGCACCCATGCAGCAAAGCGACCGTACAAACGAACGAACAAAACAATCTCAGGGCCGGAAACGCTGCAGTTTTCCACGGCCGCTCTGCTCTCAAACGACAACGCTCGTCTTAGGCGGTCAGAGACGCGATGGCAACAGACAGCAGGTGGGCGAGAGATGGGATGGCGAAAGCTTTGAAGAGACTTACAAACTTGGGGACGGGCACGGGGAAGTCGAGGCTGCTCAGGGAGACATTGAGAGCGTTCTGCGCACACGCCACCAGCCTCAGCGCCACGTAAAAGCCCTGTGGGGCAAGGCGTAGTCGAGAGAGAGCATGCGCGTGCCCGAGTGCGTCAGTACCGTCGCTGCGCAGTCAACGAGCAAGAAAACAACACACGAGCAAGTGAGCATTCGGTTCCAGGTTTTACTGTACTCATTATTCACCGAAAGGCAAAGAGGGTCGCTGCGCTAGGGAAAACATAATGCTGTGCATCAATGGCCACTGGCGGCTCTGACAGCCACTGGTGGGATGTTGACACTCCCAAGGCAGTGAGTGGAGTCTATCGATAATACAAGGCTGCCGACTTCCCACAGGGTGGTTACATATTTTAGAGACGTGGAGAGTTATGGGACAGGTTGGCAACGCCTGACCAGGAATTAATCTCAAAACCTTCCTGTTGCTTGCGAGTCAAGCGATCTCCCATGATGCCAAATGTTCAACATTTATGTTGCTCAGTGTCTAACCTACATCGAAGGTTTGTATGGGTCATTGATAATCACCTTGGATTCTAAAACAAGTCAACAATCACTGGCCAGGACTTGAATTCGCACATTTTGAACTGCGAGTCGAACTCACTCGCAACACCACAACCTGGCTGGATAATATTGAATTATATTGATGATTTGCTCTCTAAATGTAGGAGGAGCACTATTCGTCTTAAGCCAATTCAACATTGTTCCTCAGCTATTCGATGTCAGCTGGAAACCTATTTGTTGTACTCACGACTAGAGGTACCCGATTGCTTTTAAAGGTGGGCGATTTGCGCAACTTACATCTCCGTGTGATCCACTAACCGTGAACTATGTCCTGACTATACAAAACAACAAGATCATCAGCCATGATCTATCCACTGCTAGATGAAGGCATCCCCACGCCATCACCATCAATCATCAATACTGGACATCTGTGAAAAAGAGCTTTATAGCGCATCGGATTCCTCCAGTCCAAATAAATATTCTGATTCTGAATCACGGTGATGTGACGCAACAATCCATCTAGCGCTTGTGCATAAGGTGATCTCATCGATCCGTCTCTGCAGTTGATGCCCAATCTGGCATTACCCCTCATTTGGCCACCACTTCATCGCAAGTCTCGACCACCGGTCATCAACCATTCGAGTGACATGTGCTGCCCATGCCCCTTTTGTTCAAGTAAGTGCCGTAATACCCCGGCTTACGTCGGGGAGATGCGTTCTTGAAAGGTGCGACGACGAATATCGAAATGACGTCAATCGAAGCGATTTACAGGGTAGGTGGTGGAGGCGAAGGCTGAGAGGCGACGGATAATGAAAAAGGACGGATGATGTTGTCAGCGACGTGAGTGTAGGGTTGAGGCAATGCAAATCAGGTAGTGGTGTAAATATAGTGACGACATATTTGCAAAACGATGTACAAGGGGGCGATGTAAATTGGGGTATTACTGCAAATCCAATGCGTGCACATTTCAATCTACGCTTCCTTGCGTGTTCTTTTCAATTATGCATTTTCCTTTGTCAAGTGTCCATGTTTCTGATCCGCAGGTAATAGGACCATAAAATGCAATGATTGAAAAAATAAACACATTCAGAAAAAAAAGTGGACACAAGTTTGAAATTAAACTTGAGCAGCGATTGAAAACACCTCACCACTGTATATTGACTCAGAGGTGGCAAGCCCACCCTTATAGCGCTTACATTAAAGGTGTGGGCCAACACACCCGACAAAAAGGGCAAAGTTATTCACAGAAGCGGTCAAATCGTTGGTTAATAAAAAAAAAACTTAAATCGATGCTACTGACACAGTACAGGTGTCACAAAGTCTCCACAAAATACAACGTTTAAGCAATTGGTGGCATAAAAGGCGAGGAAAGAAGCGTGGAGGATATGCAGGCGTGTGATGACATCGAGGGACGGAAAGAGGAACGCATGGAATCAGAGAACGTACGGAGGTTAAAGACGGCTTTGAAGTTGTTAACCCTTTCCCGTTCCGATGACACACGTGTACGTCATCAGTTTTTCTTCCGATTCTGTTCCGATAACGTATTCGTCATTAAAACAAAACAAGAAAAACTTAAATATAAGAACATTATCAGTATCGAGGCTTTCAAGAGGCCATGCGGCACAAATTGGCGCCAGCAATCGCAGAGAGCGGCGGTCATGTTGCTACGGTTTTCTGTGGCGAGTACAATGTCTTTCAAAATAATGCCGCTACGCATCTCTACATACTATTAACGCCGAGTCGCTTGCGCGTTCCGGTATTCAGCGGTGAACGGGACTCACCCTGCAACTCGCAGTCGTCTCGGAAACGGAAAAAGGGTTAAGTACGTTGGCTCGGGCAGGACACGTCACGCTGGATGGGGACGATAGTCGCTGGTCAGGAATAATAGTGACGGAGTGGCAAGCAAGGAATGGAACGCGTTGTGAGGAGACCTCCACAAGGAGAGATGAAGCGATAAAATCGGCTCGCTTGTGTGCAGATGGTCTGTTGGATTACTAAAACGCAGGATCGTGGAGGATAGCGAAGGGGGTTTGGAGAGGCCCTCAACCAGCAGTGGATTGACGATGGATGATGATGGTTTACAATGCCATGAATCAATGAATGTTTCAAGAGAGCGCCACCAAACCTGTTTCTCAAGGTAGCCTTTGCCCTCCGGGTCGGCGACTTCCCAAATCTTTGAGCGAGAGAAATAACACAAACGCACATTCAGCGGAAGGTCACAATCACAACCACAGAACCACGACCACGAACCTAACACAGAAACTTTACTTTGTCCAAATAAATGAGCAAACTACTGTAAGCGCTACTGCCCTGAAGATTTTTGTTACTTTTATTTAATCTTTTTTTTTTGTTATTTACAACCGCACGCATTCCTTTCGGCAGTGCCAAAACAAAACCCAGTGATTAGAATGCCAAAATATTTATTGGCAGCCATTCTTTGCTATAACCATAACCAGGACAGCAAACAACATCCAAGCCACTCAATGCTGTTCTAGGTTTTTTTTCTCTGGCTTGGGAAAACATATTTACATAAGATCTTGTGAGATTGCAAAAGATTGCCATCTTAAGTTTATCCCTTTACTTACAAGTAATTCAGTTGTAATCACTCCGATAGAATCTGTAAAAGTGTTGCACAGTCAACTTTGGCAGATTTTTCGACATTTTTGTTGGTTTAATCCTCAATTATATTTCAATTGTGCTCTTGGCACTGGGGGGTAGCGGGGTTGGTCGTGTAGTAATTGGTGCACTGTACTTTACTCTAAACGTAACTATCCGAATTCGATTCCTGGCCAGGGCCAACATCAGTGGCGAGTGATATCCCAACCAGTCCCGGGCTCCTCTTCACCAATCCGTGCTTAGCAGAGTGGTGGTGAAGTATGGTTGAACAACCCACTACAATCAACACGTCACGGGGAGGCCTTTATGCAGCAGGGGATTGAATTAGAGTTCTCATACATGGGAAGTTTATTAAACTATTATTTATTTTATTTTACCAGGTAAGGCCCACTGAGCTATATAGCTCTTTTTCAGGAGGGACCTGGCAACAAATGATAGCTCAACGAAGTGGCTTATCACGTGGGAATGTATAGCAACCAAATACTCTAAAAGAGTCGAGGAATACCCTTGAGATTCACGGATTTTTCACAGTGTTCAGTGTCCCACGGCCTTGATAGGGATTCTCACATCGTTTATTGTTGTTTACCTCTCGTAAATACTACACTTAGACCCATTTACTGCAGTACACGGGCAGCTGCTGCCAATGGTTTAAGTTTTACGTGTAGGTCAGCTCCTAAAGGTTTCGACTTTACTCACATTGGTTCTATGTTTGTTTGTTGTAGGATGGAGTTAGACTGATGGCCTTAAATCTAAGTTGTCTTGTGGTTGTTGTTGTTGTTTGACTTGCATCCCACTGTGATTTTTGCCCACAGCGTTGGTGTATGGTGCTTTTTCGGGAATATTTTGCTGTTTTTTCCTGGATTGTCTGTTTGCACAATCACATAGTCCCTTTAAGATGTTTTCTTGTTCATGTTTTTGTTTTTTGTTTGTTGCGGTTGCACCCGATTCAAGAGCCGAATGGCGCACAGGGCTATACGAAATAAATGAAAACTGAAACTGAAAAAAACTATGACAGAACAGCTAGGAAACTGATAACAATTATCTAAGGTTAGTTAGGGACTATACTATAATTTAATTTATTATGGGGGGTGGGGGGAAGTCGCTAAGTGGTTCAGCCCCTAATGTTGCAAAGAAAACTCACTTAGTAAACCACTCCCCACCCACCCCTCATTTCTCCAAAAGTAGACTTGCCCATGCCTGCGTGAGAGTTAAATATTTCTGTGCCAGAGTTTTTTTTATTTCCCTCTCAATCTCTTGGGGTTTCCCTCTCAGTTTCTTGGGTTTCTGCCCGAGTCCCCTGGTGTTTCCAAAGGTTTTTTTGGTCGCGGTCTCACCAAAATGAACCCTTTGGGGGTCGACATCTAGGGGTTGCACATTACGATTGTTAACATTGGTACTGTGCGTTGAAAACAGGGAACTTCCAGCTTTGCCCTTTCCTTATTCCTATTAATAGTTATCTCGCTAGCTCTCTCTCGCTTGCTAAAAGTCTACTGTTGCTGAAAAGGATACCGTATTTATTCTGATATGGATTCTCATTGTGCCTTTGGTATACCCATTGCTGTGTTGAAGTAACAACACTCCGGAAGATGAAATCACTTCAAAAGGCTCTCTTATGTGATAATGGACAAGAATATGTTTTAGTTTCCTGTAAAGATTGTTCTTCAGTGTCAATCCACTGTTTTGGATTAAAGTCTCCACACACCTTATGAGTCATTGAGGTTATTGGATCATACTTTATCATGCTGGCCAGTGCAGTTTTGTGAAAGCGGTACCCAGGACTGGTTTGGATATCACTCGCCATTCATGCTAGCCTTGGCCAGGAATTGAACTCAGAGGAGCGCAGTGTGCTAACCATAGCGCCACTCCACAGGACAATTAAGACTGAATGTAATTTTCGTCTCCAGGGCTTGAGGTAAGCTGAATTAAATGAAACACCAAATTTTATGTCGTACTTTTCACAGAGTAGTTTGGTAACCCAGCCAGTCCGTCAACTCGCTCCACTTTCGAATCTGCTCTCATCACGGGCGGCTGAATCCCAGATTAAAACCTAGCACCTCAAAGTCTCTGACAAAGATTGCACCATCAAAGCTGCTAAGCAACCCCTATATATTTGTGTTGCTTAAACAAAGCAATGTTTAAGCAACCACTCACTCTGACCAAAATTAATGTTCACTGAGAAATACAGCAAGAATGTCAACTTCAGCAATGTTAGGAATGTTCGTAGAGAATGCTAGGCTATGTGCACAGGTATTTATGGGGCCAGAAGTTAAGAGACTCCAGGTTTTGCACAAATGCCTCTTGAGTGGCGAGAGTAAAGCTGCCACACATTCTACATTGGCCAGGACAGTCCCAGTGGTTTCAGAAAGGCTGTCCTGGTGTCATGTCACAAAGCAATTTACTAAAATGTTGGCCCTGGTTTGAAATGTTCTAGCCTCATTCTATGTTACATTGATACAATTCATTGAATTAACACTTGAATTGTATCATTATGGGTATAGCATTGATTAATCCATCATTTAATATTGATTACTAATTACACAATAACTGCATAAAACCTGTGCATATACGAATTGATTATTCTCAATTCAGATACGTTTTAATTGGTTCACATAACCCCTCCAGCCACTAGAGGCCGCTAAATTCATGACAACATAAAAAATAATCAATTCTTGAATTCAATATCCACCCTAAATTGCGAAGCTTAATTGAATGATAAAAGAGGTATCTTGACTTCCCATCATCAGCCATGATCAATCCACTTATGAACGCCTTCTCAAGTTGTCACGATCTCTCCATGTACTGCGATGTAACAATCCTCACTGCAACAGCACACCAAGTGATTTCACCGCTTCATCTCCACTGCGGGACATTATTTTGAGTGCACCCCCCCCCCCACTTTGACCACCACTTGGTCGTTATTCTCACCCACTGTCCATCACCCCTCCTAGTGGAAACTCCCTGCCAAAGCCCACTTTGCTTTTCTTAAGCGGTCCAAAGTTTGTGTCTTTTAACCCTGCGCACGTTCTCCGATTCGCCACGTTGATCTCTCCATCTCTCAGCGAATTTCCCCGCATGCGACCCTCTCGCCGTGCTCGTTTCAGAGATTATACAACGCGCCCTTCTAGGCAATAATACAGAAGGGGGAAAAAAAAACCCCCCAAAACGATTCGCGCACCACTTCCAGAGCACGGTGTCGCACCTCCAATTAGCGCGGTTGGCTACGTACGGCGCAAAAGAACTTCATCATCACGATCCATGGGCAGATATCCCGTAGGTATCCACTGTAGATTTCGTCATTTGTTTCCACTTTTCCTCCGTCTTGTGCCAATATGCTCAAGTAGCGCCACATCTTTCTGGCACCAACCTCTTACGTCGCCGTCAAGCCTTTCTCTGTTAGGTCTTGCTCTCTCTCCGGTTCCTTCCGTTTTTTCCGAACAACACACTTTTAGAAGTTCAACGTACCTAAAGTACGTACAGAGGCTCAGGTGTGTTGCCGTTTTACCTTGCCTAGCGTCAGGTCGGGCAATCCGGACTTCTTTAAAAAGACCACTGCTTGTGCGGCGCCCACCTGACCCGTGTTGCCAGGGTCCACCTGAAGTGAGAAGAGTGAGATACAGCCCTCTGAGCACACTCCGAGCAATGCACATGCTTAGCATAACGGTTGACAGAGTTTGGACCCAATTAAACTTCGCTCCAGCAACCAAGGTGGCCAACGTTTGCCCATCATACACACGCGCGACCGCAAACATGATACACACGCCAAGAACAACAACCGACATTCCCCACTAAGTGACAGTGCTGTAACCACATCACTTTTACCAGGCTAGGTGCACGCGCTGAGGCCACGTGAAGTGTGGAAGGCTCCCTGGTAGGGGGGGGGGTCACCGGAAAGACCCAGGTGCTATAGGTTGATGGACTGAGTTAACTAGCAGATGCACCACCTGTGCTCCCCCACTGTGCAACACATACATACAAATACACACCCATACACATATACCCTTTATAAAACACAGCGACTGTTGGAACAGGTGCTGCTCGGTATTAAGGTCGGCGTGACGCACGAGGTGGTGGCGTGGCTAGCACCACTCGCCCCTGCCTTTGTCTCCCCAATGCTGATGTTTACACATGGCAAGAGCTACTCATTTAAGAAAGAGACGACATATGGGAGGACCAGGTCTGAGATCACTCGCCAATGATTTTAACTGTCAATTCCGCTCGCCGTGTTAATAGCACAGTGCATTCACCACAACACAAATGCTTCCCACATACACACACCACACATGTATACACACAGACATACAATTATTAACAACAATTATTAACCTATCATATTTTTTAAAGGTTCACTGATGAAGCAACATTGTCCAGTCACAAACACACATATACATACGTAAAAACAAACAAATCCAAAGATCCTCTGTATATAGCCTTAGACTGTTGGGGCAAGTGCTGTTACCACTTCCACCTACAGTGTATGAGGTGGTGGTGTGGGGAGCGATAGTGTAGTCACCATTGCGGTTATTGTGCTGCACCTCAAATCCGGTGACCCGTGTTCGATTCCCGCTCAAGGCCAACACCAGTGACGATTATCTGAACCAGGTGGATAAAACTTCAGCGCTGGGGAGACAAAGGTGGCCAGGCGTGGTCCTGGTCACCCACCCTTTCATGTGCCGTGCTGGCCTTCATAGGTGCTCGCCAATAGCACTTGTCTCAAAAAGTAATTTTAAGACTATACAGGGTGTCTTTGTCTTTGGTGTGGCTAACATCACTGCTGGCCACCTTTGTCATGTCAGTTCTGATGTGTACTCAATTTGGTAAACGTTGGCCTGGGAGTGGCCTACGACAGGTTCAAACACCACTTGGCAATGGTGTTAGCCCTGGCTGGGAATCAACCCGGGTGGCAGAGTTGCGTTGTGCAGGTGCTGCAAACGAACCACTGGGCCAGCACTGCATACATGCTTCACGAACGACGTATCAAATTATAGGATTCCTGTATTTATTTTGAACTTTTTTGATATTGAACCAACAGCTACTTTGTAAATAAAACAAGCTGCACAAAGCCAGCGCAATAGTTGAGCGACTGCACGCAAAACGTTGGGGCGACAGTTTTGGCAAGTCACAATCGTTTTTTTTAAACTATCGCCATCACTAACAACAAATGCTGCTGTAACATAGACTCAACCGTAAACAAAAAAATCAGCATTCATTCGCACAATAGCTCTCTGTCTCTGAATAAAGGCCATTGCGCAAAACATTAGCTTGAGATAAATGTATTTTTAATTCACTCCAATCGTCACAAATACAGGCTTATACCATACCAAGGAAGAAAGATGCTTTTTCGTGGATTCCATAACGCTTTCAAACATGCGTTTGGCCTCGGAAGTTATTTAATAAGCAGTAATAACGGCTGTGCTTGTGCCAGGCACCTAAAAGCAGTACATCCACTGAAGCTACGTACCAAAGCATAAGTTACAATATGCATCACTCTTCTACCACTGTTCCCTGCCAGCCAAGTAGCCCTTGAAAATGAGCATCTATGGGCTCATCGGGCTTTACCCTGGTAATAAACAGCTGGCATCATGACGCTGCATGTTAAGGCACACAAGGAGATGATGCCACGCATCACTTCGCCAAGGGGAATATTTTGGGATGCTGGTTATGACTCCAAGTATTGGGAAACCCTTCACTCAATAAGTCCCAAAGAGCAACACAACTATGGACTGACATTTAGTCCATATGATAAAACCTATTCAATAGTTACCCTGTACCCCACATTCATAAAGAAAGAGCCAATGCACTAACCCAGGGGTCGGCAACCTATGGCTCCAGAGCCGCATGCGGGTGGCTCTTTAAGGGACTGCTTCGTGATGTTATTTATTAAGGACCACCGTCTTGTATTCACGTGCATTGCGGCTCTTGAAAGAAGTAATTTTTTCTGAATTCGAAAAAAATGGCACTTCTTGTAATTTTGGTTGCTGACCCCTGCACTAACCCGTTAAACGTTATTTTTGGAAAAAAAGTGCAAACATAAGATAAGCCGACAATAACGCATCCTACCCCATAGCCGTGATTATTTTTGTGCAACAAATATAGTAGGTTAGAGGTAGCCGAGTGGCTCAAGAGGTCGCAGAGCGCTGAGCTGGCACCGCTGTAACCCTAGGTTCGAATCCGGTCAGCTGCCCGTGATTAAACCGGGTTCTCAACAGTGGCGAGTTGATGGTCTCAACGCCTTCTAGTAAATTAGCCAAACACCCACATAGAGGACCAACAGAGCTTGGCAAAGTGTTGGTGCCAGTTATGGCTGCCTTGCCAACTTGATTTCCCGCGCCTGTTTGTGAATATCAGTGCACGTTACAACATTTTCGGGAGTTTTGAGGTTAAATTTTCATGAATGACAAGATATAATAACGTAGAATTAAGTTATTATTCTTAATCAATTAAAAACAGTTGTCCGATTGCTTAAAATTTCCCATTTCTCAAATTCCCAGCAGTACAAGCTCCAACAATAAGTCAATCTCCTTTCCCCCTCTCTCTCTACTCTGTAAAGAAGGAACATTGCCAGAAAAAGCCGCCAATTAGAAATTTTTGCTATTTTAAAGTCACGTTAATAATTAATTTGACGGTTTGTTATTGTGAATATATATTGGCCAAAGTAAAAAAATGTCAAAGCACAATACAATTTCCACAAGATTTTTCTGTTTAAAGAAACCATTAAAAAAAAGCTGTTCCTTTTTTGGGATTTGCAGTTTTGCATTTACAGGGTGGTCCAAAAGTTACTTTAAAGGTAACCGTTATCAACTTTATGATCTTCCACGATCAAGTCAGTGCAAGATGAAGCTATTACAATTTCAGAATCTGAATCTTTATTTATACTGGAGGAATCCGATAAGCTATCAAGCTCTTTTTCACAGATATCCAGTCGAGGCAGGTAATAAAATTACAACAACAAGAAAAGCAAATCACAAAAAAATATATAAAATTAAACTATGTTTTATTTTTATTCTGGGTTCTTTCGGTAAAGTCACGTAGAAGGGAAACAATAAAAATATAAAACAATATTTTTATGGAGAATTGAAATAAAATAAAAATACATTTTGATTTAAAGCTTTCGTGACTGCAGAGATTCATATTCTTGGTTCTTTCGGTAAAGTCACGTAGAAGGGAAACAATAAAAGAATAAAAATATTGTAGTCACAAAAGCTTTAAGTCAAAATTTATTTTTATTTTACCAAGTAAAACCCACTGAGCTATTAGCTTATTTTTCAGAAGCGACCTGGCCACAAATGATAGCTCAACAAGGTGGCTTATCATGTGGAAATAAACGCACGTTTCTAAATTCACAGGGTCCTGCAACATAACGTTCCATGTATCAGCTGCGCAATAACTTATTTCAATTCTCCATCTCCCAAAGTGATCATCACCTTGAGCGCGTTCCTACCTTTGGCCGCCACTGCATTGTTCCCGAGACGGGAGCACATTGGTCTTTTCTTAGAAAAGTACATTTGCGCCATATCTGTACTTCCAACAAACCGCCTTTAGTTATTTATTTCAGAATCAGAATATTTTTTTTATACTGGAGGAATCTGATGAGCTATAAAGCTCTTTTTCACAGATGTCCAGTAGGAGCCGGTCGGGTATAAAGTGTTTTCTGTTAATGACGATAATGATGGTGGTGGTGGGTCAAATTTTAGTCAGTCTGTACAAGAAACTGTATGTCAACAAATAAAACTCTGGTTATAGAGGAAGAACAAAGTACAGGCTGGTCCTCGCTTTTATGACACAATACTTCCTGGAAACGCCGTCGTAAATTGGACCCCGATTTTCCCACAGACAGTAAAAATAGGAGAAAACTCACTTGCCGATGTGTTATTCCTTTCATCGGCCGTATTTAACAGGGTTTGATTCGTTACAAAAATCCACAAAAACAGCTCGAGAATTACAAAAGCTCGACGCCAAGTCACACCGGAAACTGGACTGATGCGGTTCAAATGCGACCTGTACGACCAACATATTGTTGGTCGTACAACCCGGGCAGATGTAACCGGTTTTCCGAGCTTTTGTGGTGGTTGAAAAGAGGGCACCGTGAAGAAGCAAACATGCTGTAACTTGAGATTGTAGGATTAGTTGCAGGAAGAGCCACAAAAATAAATAGCTCTTATCTAATACACGGAACAAATGTTGAAAAAAATTACAAAGACGGCAAGGGGAGGTGCATTCTTGGCCTTACACTTCGAGACAGAGAGAGGAACACATGGATCAGAGAACATACCTCACAGATTAATGCCATACTTTTGACAGTAAATAGAGGTGAGTGGGATTGAGTAGGACAAGTCAACGTCACCAGAACGGATGATGGGCTAGCGGTCGAGAATAACGATGGAGTGGCAGCCAACAGAGTGAGTGCCCCTCAGTGGATGTCTACCCAGCGATGAGATCACCTGGTGTGCAGATGTTAGGTGAATCGTTAATATGTATATATGTTGAACATTTTTCGCACCATACGTAACCAGCCGTGCTAATCACAGCGGAGCGGTAGTGTAGCGTTTAGCGCGCTGTGCTATGAACCCAGTGGTGCGATGTGTAAACAGCGCCACGAGAGAGACAAAGGTGACCGGACCTGGTGCTGGCCACTCACCCCCTCGTATGCTGTGCCGGCCTTCAAAGGTACTTGCTAACAGCACTTGACCCAACAGTCTGTTCAGGCTATATGGGGGATCTTTGTCTTTGTTAATATTACAGAAGCAGATAAGGTTTGGAAAGCATGGGAAAGCCTTCATCCAGCAGTAGATTGATCACAACTGATGGTGACGGTGATGCTTTTTATACATACGTAACGAATTACCTATGCTCCGTGAAGCAAGCTATCCGACACACGGTTTGAGGCTAATTTAATGAGAACTTGTTGAGATAAAAAAATACTGAGAGACTTCAGAACAGCTCTCGGGGTATGTTGTTCAAAGATCTCAGTGGTGACAGCCCAACATTCGGACCTCTGAGCTACCGTGAGTGGTTAGTTATTTTGAAAGTGCCGTTTGTGAACATAACGTTTGAAGCCAAAATGCAACACCACAGACCGAGGAAGCTGACCGACAAAAGTAAAACTCACCAAGCTATTTCCAGCCATTGCGATACATCAAGTTGGTGGTGTTGGTGATGACAGTGTTGATATTAACAATTACAGTGGTACCTCGGTAAACGTCGTTAATTCGTTCCAGAAGGTAGGAGGACTTATACCGAAAGTGACGTCTACCAAACTAATTTTTCCCATAAGACATAAAGGGAAAGGAAATAATCCGTTCCAGAGTATAAGAAATAATATTTTATATGGCATAGTATACATTAATGGGGTTGTAGACAATAATTTAGACACTACTCATTACTAAAATGCATACATAAATTAAAATAAATGCATAAATTAAAATAAATTGAAATAAAAATCTAATTTAACATCACTTTACCTTGCTGAGAGGAGTTGAAACACGTGAAAATTCACAGAGAGTTATATAGTAAGGGTTGTGCACTGAACAAGATCTACTGTACAGGCAGACTGAGGAGCAGCAGCTCTTTGTTTCAGTCGTGAACGGGGTCTACGCGGGTACGCGGTGACTTATCCCGTCCCAGACAAGTTCTAGCAAGCGCGTCGTATCCCAAGCAAGACGTCTTATCCCAAGACATTTTTTTTAGTCAAAACACGAAGTATACCAAATTCGACGTATTCCAAAGTGGTCGTATACCGAGCTATGACTGTATGAGGATGATGGCAATGATGTTGAAAATTATAACCAGAATAACCAGAATGATGATAATGGTGATAATCATGACAACGGTTATGATCAGTATGTGATGTTGACAATTATGATGATGTGACTGTATTGACCGTGGCTGGGATTTGAATGTGTAAAGCTACTCACCAGTCGATAGTATTTTTCATATACAGGATTTCCACTGGATAGCTGGAAAAGACACACACAAACACCACACACCATGGAAAATAATCCAACTTTGGCAGCGACAGATCAGTTATCCGGGACTCGAAACAAGTCTCTCAATAATGCATCCTTCTGCCAGCATCAATTCAAATAATCTGTCGTGTAAAAAATCAAAACACACACACACTTGCGAATATTTTCAAGTGAAATGTTCAGGACCAAGTGGTAATTAAGTAGAGACTCGAAACCTCTCAACGGTCGCTCGGTATCCTGGACATTCTTGACAGTGTGCAAGAGTGATGGGTGAAGAGAGAACAACAACAAAAACCTGTGAAGACAACAACCATCCTGCAACAACACAAAATGTGCTTTTATAACGCCCTTCATGCAAAGCATTCTAGAGCCTTTCTCAATAAAAATTTTACTGCAAAGGCCATTAAATTTCGATTTAAAGCTTTCGTGACTGCAGGCATTCATATTCTTGGATCTTTCGGTAAAGTCACGTAGAAGATGATTGCTTGTGTTGCAATCGAAACGTCGTGAGAATTTCATAGTTTTATTAATTATTATTTTATTAATTTCTTTTCTACGTGACTTTACCGAAAGAACCAAGAATATGCGAAGGGCATTAGCTAAAAAAATTATGAATCAATTATGAGCTAACTGCAGATTGGAAGTGCTTCAGAAGAACGTGCCAAAACAATTTCAGAACTTTGGTGGACAACCTCGAGTGTAAAAACCACTCGAATATCGGGTCTGAAATATACTCAGCATCTCGGCCTCTAACGTACCGCACACTGTTGTTTGTAAACCGATGTCGACCTAGCCAAAAAGACTTGTTCTCTCAAAAGGTTTTTTTCCTGGCAAAAAAAAAGTCTCACGAATTTGAACGTTCACCAATCACGTCGCATGCCGCGGTTTTACATGGAACCTGTGATAACTTGTAAAGAGGTTGGAATACGCTCAACCACAGAGTCACCAACGCCTTAGAGTAAACATACACCACCCACCACAGAGGACCGCTTCCAGGGAAATACCACAGTGTGAAAAAGCCAGCCCAGTACAATCAGGAGTTTAAATAAAATAACATAAAACATAATGCAGACATCTATGTACGCATGTATGTTGAACTTCTTTCGCACCGTATGTAGCCGACCGTGCTAAACAAAGGTGCGGGGAGGGACAACAAACTAAACACAAATAGCAGTTCTAAATAAATGAGTTTTCAATCTAAATTTAAAAGTTCATAGCTCCACTGGTTTCCTAATATTGGAAGAGCGTTTCAGATGGCCGCAGAAGCGCTTCTGAAAGTGCGCGATGCGGTGACCGTCTTTTATCAATGGCTAGCCAAAAGCCGCTGCGAGGATGACCGGAGTTGGCGTGATGGTTTATGCTAAGAGGTGTATGTATGTTGTACTTCTTTTGCACAGTACGTGAGGGTGGTTGTTAGACAACAGTCAGATACATTTATTCTATCAGGTCAGAACTTGAGCCTACATGGGTTGCTTTACAAAGCTGGCGACCTGGTCAAGACTGCCATAAGTCAAATGGAGAGATAACGCGGGCAAACAATCTATCGTAAACATAAGTGCAAGATGCAATACAGTAATTAAAGATGCTCGTTGCAACTAACGATTTCATACGAAGCAGAATACAATCATACGGAAATATGACGATGAGTAAAACAGTTACTAGATTGCAATGGATGGGAATTTACAATGGGTGAAGTTAATGGATGGAGCTAACATAAACCGTATTGGGATCAGTATTACGGCAACATTTATGTTCAAATATAGCCTCTGCTGCACTGGTTAACAGTGCATAAGAGTCCAGTACACCAAACTACCTGAGCAATGCCATCCACCCACGTATACCATCACGACACCTACGCTCATCTGCTATGGACCTGCTTGGTTTAGGAGAGCAGAACGGAGTTGTCCATCGGCAGCCCTGTTTGTGGCTTGGAGCAGTCTCTGTCGAAGGAAGTCCGCTCAGCCATGACAATCGGTGCTTTAAGATCAGCAGGCTAAAAACATTTATTTTCTCTTCGGCTTCGTTTAAGTAAGTTTCGTTTTTCTCAGTGCCGTCGGCGCTTCCGTCTCAGAATTTTGCTGAATATGGAGCATTATAAATGTTGGATTTATTTATTTAAAGAAAATATGCAGTTACAGCCTTTTCTGTCAATCCATTGCAGTTGTCTGCTGGGGTGACAGGCCCGGGAAAGCGGGCTGTGTAGCTCCAGGGTCTTTAACTCGGGCAATAAACTTCTGGCTTCTTCCGACTTTTGACCGCGTGTGTCGTGGGATTTGACCGTACTTCACCACGCTGGTCAGCGCAGGTTGGTGAAGACGTATAAGCATAGACTTGCATTACAACAACGGATTTTATTAACGTGTAGTTGTTCCCAGGTAGTTTAATTATTCACAACAGATGTTTAGGCTGGCCAAACGTGTCATAAGACCCTATACCACCGGACATGAACAAATTAAATTGTCGCATGTACAAGCGAATTGCATGCCAACTATTACTGTTTAAGCTCACTGGAAAGCTGTAGAGCAACTCTCAAACCCAAACCGAGCAATTAGATAATACGTTTCGCTTGAAACTGTGCCAAACACCTTCAGGGAAAATTACAGGAAGTTGTTGGATCACCCACGACCCTATGACAACCTGGCAGGCATCGTGGCCACCCAAAACAAGCAGACTGAACCCCGCGTAGCTTCTACGATCTGACAGGGTCAGGCATGGTTCCGTGTGATTTGCTCATTGGCTATATATTTGTAGTGACTGTGAATGTCACTGTGTGGTGCCGGGCTTGCGAAGCCACGGCGGATAATGTGTTGTCATTATGTGCAGCCCGGTTACTGGGCGTAGTACCGGCCCTAGCGGGGCTTCGGTGAGCGCTGGTCAGTGCGGAGGCACCACGTACAGTGTGCGGTGCAGGCTCCCGGTGAGGGAGCGAGAGGGAGTGTCAGCCAGCCAGGGTTACGTTGGGGCATGATACGCTGGTTGACCTGCCGACACGTGACCAGATGATATTGGAGGGGGGCCACCGGTGGACAGGGGCCGCTGGGCGGTCACGTGGTATAAAGGAGTTCTCAGGAGCCTTCGGGAAAGAGCTCGAGAGATAATAAAGTATTAAAGCTTTCGTGACTGCATGAAATTACTCATTGGTTTTTTCGGTAAAGTCACGTATGTAGAAATACAATAAAATTATATTAAAACAAAAAACAATCACGACGTTTCGATCATAACGCAAGCGATCTTCATCAGGTGTCAAGAACAAATCACGGAGGTAAATACAACAAAAAGGTGAGAGACAAGAATTCAACAAACCTAAAAAAACATTATGTGAAGCACATCCAGTCAGGCCAACAACACAGTTAGACACTTCCTGGCAGACCACGAATTTCAGAAGAGTGTTAAATTTCGTGTTCAACCTTTGGATTGCACATACCAGCATAGATAGAATGAAAAATACGAGGTACACGGTCAGTAGAAATACATATACAAGTCCACCAAGAGGTCAGGAGGGAGGAAAGACGGACAGGCAGCAGAGAGAGAGAGGGGGCAGCTCAAAAAAGGACCACCTCTTGTAAGTACAAAACGGCAGCTCAAAAAATGACCACCTCTTGTAAATACAAAACGGCAGCTCAAAAAAGGGCACATCTTACACATAATTACAACGGTAACTTCCTCGTAGAAGTGTGTCCGTCTTTCCTCCCTCCTCACCTCTTGGTGGACTTGTATATGTATTTCTACTGACCGTGTACCTCGTATGTTTCATTCTATCTATGCTGGTATGTGCAATCCAAAGGTTGAACACGAAATTTAACACTCTTCTGAAATTCGTGGTCTGCCAGGAAGTGTCTGTGTTGTTGGCCTGACTGGATGTGCTTCACATAATGTTTTTTTCAGGTGTGTTGAATTCTCGTCTCTCATCTTTTTGTTGTATTTACCTCCGTGATTTGTTCTTGACACCTGATGAAGATCGCTTGCGTTGTGATCGAAACGTCGTGATTGTTTTTTTTAAATATAATTTTATTGCATTTCTACATACGTGACTTTACCGAAAAAACCAATGAGTAGCTTGAGAGATCTAGAAGGTGGGCGGGGCGAGGGGCGGAGCCAGCCCCAGCCTAGGCCGATATAACGGGGGCCCCGTGAGTGGCTCGGGGTTCTTCGGGTTGTTGGTGAAGAAGAGCCACGTAGGGTTGAAGAAGCCTAGATTTAAAGCTTTCGTGACTGCTAGGATCCATATTCTTTGGTTCTATTGGGTAAAGTCACGTAGGTGAAAATAAAATAACAAAAAATCACGACGTTTCGGCCACAACACAAGCGGCCTTCCTCAGGTGAAGGGACGAGACTGTCTGGAGGACAGCGCTGGAGTGAGAAAAGCCACGCTTAGATCACGACCTTTAAGCTGTGTGAGAAGAAAACAAAGCGCTTTGACAAAGGAATTAGCATATAATTTAGCATTGAAATGGCTCATTGAAATAGCTAAGTTAAAGTATACACATCCACAGAGGCACCCCTTGACAAAGGAATTAGCATAGAATTTAGCATTGAAATAGCTGAGTGATTAGCTTCTAACTGGTCACAGAAATAGCTATGTTAAAGTCAGAGCATACACATTCACCGAGGCACCTAGTACAAATCAAACAGGAGAATGTAGCGAAACACAACCACGCTCAGACCGCGGACCTTTAAACTGTGTGCGAGCAAACAAGGTGTTCTGACAAAGAAATTAGCATAAAAATTAGCATTTGATTGGCCGATTTTAGAAAAGAGGTGGTGTACGTGCCGGTGGACTTGCCGTTTGGCGCGGGGGGGGGGGGGAGTTTACCTATTGATGGTGTGAAAAGGGAATTTATAAGAGCTGCGAAAGTTTGGGGTACCACCAATCAAATGCTAATTTTTATGCTAATTTCTTTGTCAGAACACCTTGTTTGCTCGCACACAGTTTAAAGGTCCGCGGTCTGAGCGTGGTTGTGTTTCGCTAAATTCTCCTGTTTGATTTGTAC